TTTAAATGCCATTTTCTTAATGTTTTTCATTTTTGTAAAGCACTTCGAAAGGTGCTATATAGATAAACTAGCCTTGCCTTGCCTATAATGTACAGATATACAAACAATTGCCGATTTGTCATGGTTACTAGGAAGGAGAAACTCAAACTGTGTAGCAGTGAGTTCTCTGCCAGCCAGAGGTGAGATGTTGAAAAGTGTTAATGCAGTAGGAAGGACTGTTTTCATGTACCTGTGTGTGAAAGGAAGCTAATCACTGCATTTTGTTTTTCCTCCTGCAGGAGAGCTACCCCCGCAGCGGCGAAGGAGACGAGCATGACGGACCTGGAGAAGAAACCTGAAACACAAAGTGCAGACGCTGACAAACCCGAGGTTTAAAGAAACTCCTTAAAATAATCAGATTCCCAGTTGATGCTCCTGTGGGACGGCGGTCTGACTTTTCGTTCTTTCTTTTCACAGGAAGCGGTGTCTTCTGTGGACTGAGGTTGATTCATGAAACTTTTTAAATAAACCGTCTGCATTTTCCACGGCTCCCTGTGAAGTTATTTCAGCGTTGTTTACTGTCGGTTAGACCACCAGGGTTGAAGCGTTGAGAGCTGACAGATTATTTTATGGGACATGGTCAGAGGGTAACATCAGAGATTTGTCGGTGACTTTCAACAAAGAACAATACAAATCTGGCATTAAAGGAAGTGAAAGATCAACCTCTTGATGTAACATAAAAATACAGGTTTGTTTAATCTGACTTTATAAAATGGGGTGAGGCTGCAGAAGGTGTTGAGAGAAAACATGCAACACGTGAGGAAGATTTCATTGCAGCTAAAACAATGATTGTCACAAAAGGTGGAAACCGACCTTTCTTTATCTACTAATATGCAGATATATGGTCTCCAGTAATCATTTGGAATATGACTTGCACATTTAAGGTCTTCAATTCACTCCGAATGTTTAATTTTCTAAGCAACAGTCCCATTAAAAAATGAAGACGATTAGTTCGTTGAAAGAAAATCCGTTCTGAGATTAAAGTCAGAAATAATGTATTCTATATTGTAGTATTTTTCCCCCATGTGGCCCTTATCCTCTTACGTTAAACTCAGTGAAAAAAGGAAGCAAATGGTCACATTTAAGAAGCTGTAACCACATCCTTTTTTTTGCTTAAACTATAAATACATTAGAAAATCTGAACGTTTTTTTTACAGATAGTTGCAGATTCTCTTACTGTATGTGCAGCTCTACAAAAGACCAAGCTAATGGCTGATGTATTATTACGGTCTTCATGGGATGTTTAATCAAAGCAAGCAGCAAAGAGATGGCCCGGAGGAAAATATCTAAACAAGAAGTTGGAATATCTTTCTGACCAAATACTTGCCAAAATATATTTAAATAAACTGCTTGTGTTTCAAACAAGTCAATAAACTCCCTCTGAAGGGAACACAGAGATTTTAGCCTTTGCAGACCATTTACATAAGGGGTGTCAAACTCAATTTCATCGCGGGCCACATTTGCATAAAGGTTTCACTCAAAGGGCCGGTTGTAACTTTATAATATATATCAAATGTATTATATTACATTATTGTCTCTGAATTGGATTATTATCGGATAGGATCATAACTTAGCAATTAACTACGTCTGAAAGCAGAAGTCCAGGGCAAATAATTGCAAGTCTATTCAGTGTCACAAAACGAGATGCATTGTGGGACATGTAGTTTATGGGCAACCTGCTTCTGTAAAGTGGCATGAAACCGTATAATAAACGTATTGTATTCTTTGCAAGCTCTTGCGGGGCCACATCAAATGAAGTCGCGGGCCAGATTTGGCCCCCGGGCCTTGAGTTTGAGACCCCTGGTTTACATGCACTAAAACCCACACGACAGGAGAGGGGGAATCTTCAAAAAGCATACTAGGACCTCTTTAACTGCTTTAACGCTCATATTTCTGTACATTTGGTGAAGACATTTCTTTAATTGAAGGAGAAATGTATTGAAATCAAAGTTTTTCTTTCCTTATCCCTCTCATCCGGTGTAAGATACTAAAGCGCACTAATGTTCCCCTCAGTGTTATTTTAAATCCGCATTGATCACCACCCACACATGTGAGGACGTTTACAGTACAACACTCTTTGATATAAAACATTTTAGGTTTCCCTCAATTGGACTTTTAATGCCCCTGATATATAATATCTCTATTGCATATTGAACTCTATGGACTTGGTTGATAAGTTAGCGGTATTTAAGATGTATTTTGTGGCTTTAATGCTCATATTTTTATACATTTGAAGACATTTCTTTAACTTGAAGGACAAATACAATCACATCAAACTTAATATTTCCTTTCTTGACCTGCACATCATCCGGTGTAAGATACTAAAGCGCACTAATGTTCCTCTGTGTTATTTTAAATCCTCTTGAATGCATACACATTGATTACTACCCACACACGTGAGGACGTTTACAGTACAACACTCTTTGATATAAAACATTTTAGGTTTCCCTCACTTGGACTTTGAATGCCTCATATCTCTATCACATATTGAACTCTCTGGAATTGGTTGATGTCACGGTATTTAAGACGTGTTTTGCTGCAGTCAGTGTAATAACATTGAAATCTGAGTATGTGTATTTAAAGTTCTTCCCATTGTTCCCAGCAGAACCACAAAACACATGTTTACTCTTCAGACTCGGCACATGGTGCTCCTATTTATCCGCTAACAGTTTTAACACCCTCTAATTTGGCGGTGTCTGTGTTCAGTGATTTAGTTTGGATTGTTATCGAGGCAGGACTGAAGTGAATGAACGCTAAATACGTGAATTAGATGATGAGTTATTGTTTAGTGCCCACACATAAAACAGCCGTATAAAAACATGAGAGGAGAGGAGCGTTTATTGAGTCATTTCATCGTCTGTGAGAAGGGAAGAGGAGACTCGGCATTCAGAGGTAGGTCTGGAGAGATTTCTATACAAAACAATGCACATTTTACAGGTTATACCAGGTTATAACGCACTATTCATTTATTGACTGTTTTGTAACTCATTGAGATGTCTTAACTTGTTTTATGGATTTATATTAAGATTAAACATTTCAAACTAGCCGAGTGGAGCAATTTCGATTCCTATTTTAGAGTATACATCTCCATAGGATGTAATACTGTATTTAAAATATGACTTGGGTAATTAAAAAGGTATCATAAATTATTATAAGAGTATTCAATAATGCAGAAATGTTAAATATATTTAAAATAAATGTAAAACTGATGCATGAAGTGGAAGCCCTTTTTTTGTCGATAATCCATTTCTTTAAAGTGTTATTAATTTCACATAATTGTCCTGTATTTTTACAGTAAAAGTTAAATGTCTTATCAATCAAATGAATCCATAAATGTGTGAGCAGCATTTTTCTTAATGTTATATTTTTAGTGAAATGATGTTGAATCATTCTTTCCACAATTTCCTTTTTAAATGTGAAAACTTGTTTTTTTAAACTCAATTTTAGACTCATTTCCAGACTTAATTTCCCCTGAGGGTGCAGTTTGGATGTATGTATTTGTAGACTGAATTATCTGTAAAATTACGTGTTTAAAGGAAACAGAAGTAACGTATTTCCCTCTGAAACGTAACAATGAAGTGCTTATGTTTTATGTATTTCAGAATAAACAGGAAAACAAAAATGGCCGTCGTGAAGACGCTTTGTGTTGCCTTCATGGTGACGGTGGTGTTCTCTAAACCAGTGAGTATTCATCTGCTGCTACCACTACAATGCAATCTAAGAGAACATGTGATTATCTTAAAGAGGCCCTATTATTCTTTTTGGGGTGTTCCCTTTCCTGTAGTGTGTTATATAGGTTTTAGTGCATGTAAATGGTCTGCAGAGGCTAAAATCCCTGTGTTCCCTCCTGGGAGTTTCTCTCCCACACACACCAACCCTGCCTGAAACGCCTCCATTGGACTCCTTTGTTTACTTCCTTAAGATATTTACACTATGTAACACTTGCACTTCTATTGGCTAGCGCTCCAACACATGTCTACGTGATAGGTTAAGGGGCGGGACATCTCTAGGAAGTTGACCAATCACAACAGAGCCGAACCTGAAACGCCTCTATTGGACTCCTGACATTCTAGTTATCTTTTAACGCTGTCAGCTATATTTGTTTATCTGTAAGTAACGTGTTTTGTGAAACATGTCACAGTAGAGGCACAAGATACAACTAGGAAATGCATAATAGTATATGGACATAAAACAAGAAGAACATCCTGTTTTTGTTTTTGAAAGACAAACCTTTATTAATGATCCAAACATTTCATTTGATCACACATCCCATCAGTAAAGTCTGTTCAATGATTTCATGATCAGTTTCACTTTATCCACACCATGAATGTGTTTCATCTCAGCTATTTCAAACAGAGTCACACATGATTTCCTTATTGATTATTATCATGATAAGTTATGTTCTATAAAACATCAGAGTACCCACTTTCTATTTGGATAACAACAACAACAACAACAACAACAACAACAACAACAATTAGTCTGCAAAACAATAACTGTAATATTATACAATGTATTTCCCAAGCAAAGACTCTAAGCTATTTACAGCAGAATAATAAATGATGTACTTATTGATTATGATCATGACAGTAAGTAATATCATTTTAAATAAACAATTTATGATGAAATAAGTGTTATAACCATCTGGGAACTCATGTGTTAGTTAATTTGGGCAACAATAATATTGCTATTTGGGCGTCATATGAGAGGCCCCGCCTTACATCTTCCGCCACAGATTTGGGGAAATTGGTCCATGCGCAAAGCATTGTGGGGATTTTAAGGACGCGAAGTCTACCCATGTGCAGCCTCGAAATTTCCCCCAAACCAAGGACGCGGCCTCGGTGGAATTCCAAGTATGCTGGAGATTGGAACAGTCCTTCGGCAGCACTCGATGACGTAGCATCCTTGAAATATTGGCTTGGAAGCCAATATCCTCGCGATTGAGAAACGGCCAGAGCCTCGGTTACAACCTGCTCTTCATTTGAAAAGAGCTTTTAGTTGTAAAATAAGTTGGTAAACTTACAAAATCTGAAGGGGGTTAAATACTTGTTTCCTCCACTGTAAATGTATAGCCTCAATGTCCTGAGATAGCTGATTGATTTAATAGTTGGATGTACAGTAAGTAGTTTTTTACTGTAAGTACTCGTAGTAGTAGTAGTAGTAGTAGAATTAGTAGTAGTAGTAGTAGTAGTAGTAGTAGTAGTAGTAGTAGTAGTATTGTGTGTGTGTGTGTGTGTGTGTGTGTGTGTGTGTGTGTGTGTGTGTGTGTGTGTGGGTGTGGGTGGGTGGATGAGTGGGTGTGTGTGTGTGTGGGTGTGGGTGGGTGTGTGCTCTGATTGGATGATGTCACTCAGCTGTGTCTGCCCCAATCTGCCCAGTAACTATGGTTACCATGGTCACCTGCAGCAGTAGAGGGAGGCTCATTCAGAATGCTTTGAGGTTTATCTCTGACAATTGTTCCTCCTGTTCAAAAACTATGGCTCCTATCAAACAAATGACCTGACAGTAAGCATCAGGGAACCCTAATGAACACATCTGTGTGTTTTCTTCTGTTTTGTGTGTACAATGTGGCGATGGCGTCAGTTTGTCTAAAGTTGACTTCTTTTCTGGTCTGAAGAAAGATCCGAACATTTTTAACATGGCGTCTATTGGGAGCTTGGTGGACTTTTTGTCACTCAGATCAGTTTTGGGCCAGAATGGTGGGTCAGTTTGATATGATGAAGGCAATTGAGCAGGCCAGACTAATAATGCTCCTGAAATCTTTTGAAATGATTTGATAGAGTGTATATTTTGAGTGTGAGAGCAGTTTTAAAATATATTTTCAGAAGATTTGAAAGACCCTCTACACTCTAAGTGATGATGCACGCACTCTAGCTCTGAAGAGTCTCTCCCATAGACATCCATTATAAAATCTAACACGAACATTTACCAAAACTTAAACGTTGATAATTCGAGAACTGTAAAAGATATCAAAAAGCTGAATACAACTTTAATAGCTGAATGTCTTGTGACCCTTTTAAAGTTGGAATGAAGTCTCTAGCTGAAAGTATGTGGAAGGAGTAGCATTTTGCACACGGTGTAGGTTAAAGAGGATTTGAAGGGTTCTCCCAAAATGATTTGTGGTTGAAACCTTATTTTAAATCTTTTCTTTTTACCCTCCAACAGATGTGTCTCAATGGAGAAGAAGAAACCTCAGATTCCTTAGAGTCCATCGAGGTGAGTTCCTCCGAGGAGACGTCCCCCGCTGTGTCCCCTTCCCAGGATCCCCCCCCACAGGACCCCATCACAGAGACACCCCTTCCTAACGTGATCCAGGAGACTGAACCTCCTTCCTCACTCCCTTCCTCACCTCCTCCCCTCCTCATCTCCTTCCCTCCTCTCCTCTCAGAGGACCCTCAGACCTCCACAGACCCCCTCCCTCTCCTCCCTGAAGACCCAGCAAACATAGCTCTGTTTGTGGACGTTTCTCCGAGCGCTGACCTCCTGACCGTCCTTCCACATGTGGACGCCTCTGCCTCCCCCTCCCCAATTCCAGATTTTCCTCACTTTTTCTCCACGGCAGCCCCCACCCTAAAGATCCCTCTAAGCACCGCCCTCACCGGGGTCCCTGTTTGTGTCACGTTCCAGTTCTACACCCCCGAACCAGAACCAGAACCCAGAGGAGACAGCAAGTGATCCAAAGAGACCAAGTGAAGTGTTTTGGCCGTGCTGCTTTCTGACAGAGGGTCTGTGAGGGTCTGAACGAATCTCTGATTTTCAGGGTTCGAGTTATAATCTGAGCTTTATGGGGGTCTCTAAAACTAAGGTTAGGGGTGGAGATAAATATATCAATAACAGCCAGGTAATAACATAAATAACGGGTGAGAGAGAGAGAGACTTGACGCGTAGTTCTTTTGGAAAACATGTTTTTCTTTCAGCCTATTTACCTCGTTAACGTATTTAATACTCATTACATTGAAAAGTGCATTATTTGTGGTTAAAATAATGGTTGTTGGTAATGTGTTAGCGACCCCCACAGATGTATGATTTCACTGCTTTCATAGGAGCTCAGACCCCTCCTCATGAGAGCTCAGCTCCCATTGGCTCCCACATAACTCGAACCCTGCTGATTTTAAACAAAACACATCTTTACAGTCTGGTTATTATGTACTTTATAACTCTTTGTTTATTATCGGCTTTATTTTCTATTTCACTGTATTATTAAAACACTTTTTTTAATCTATTCTATTTTCACATTTTTATCAATTGCTTGTGAAACTCTTTGATGTGTATCTGAGTCGCTCTAAAAGGTGGTAATTGGTCATCTTTCATCTTCTTCATTTCATCGTTTACTTATTTGACTGTATTTAGACTTTACTTTCTTTATTCTACCTATTTCTATTTTTAGGATTTCATCATTTTAACATCCTATTTTCTTGTAAAGTGTAATTTTAGTTTCCCTCCATTTTAACACTTTAATGTTGATTATGACTTTTATTTGTTTTATTTTCAACATTTTACCACTTTCTAATATCCTCATGTTTGTCAACTGGTCGTCAAACAAAGATTAATAAAGTTTTTCTATATATCATCATTTTTATTTTCTATTTCCCTAAATGTGTTGTTGATAATTATGACTTTTTTTATTACATTTTTCAACTTTTAACCACTTTTAACATCCTCATTGTTGTTGTTTGTCAAACACAAGTCTAAATATCCGACTACACTTTCATCACGTTTCCTAAAATCTGTGTTTTATTCGTTATAAATGGTGCTAATGATGGAGCTATCCAAAAACAACAGAAATGTAAAACCACACGTGTTCATATGAGCGTCTGAAAACGTAATCTGATGAAATGTCATTATCTTTGTCAATAAATCTATCCGAGGACAACACAGTAGTAAAACAAGATCTTCGTAAAACTCTGTATTTTATTGGGTGTTTGTATTAATGAATACAAGTCCATTATTAATTAAGGAAAAAGGCAACACCAGGAACATATCTCCATAGCAACAAGACATTTTCTCTGCTGGCTTTAGAGAGTTAGCACATTGAAACGCCCGATCAGTGATTCCTTTTTAATCTGGAAGGTAAGACTTCTGTTCTTTTCAATGAAGTCTGAGCGCTTTGATTACAGCGAGGTGTCCGAGGGCTGGGTACAGATGTGAAAATACTCTAAGTTTAACGTACAATTACACTGATTTTGATTTGTTGCATGCAGCTAAAATAAGTCTTGCTTGTGTCTTCGTCCACTGCAGTATTTTCCTTTGTGTTTTTCTAGTCAATACACTGACGACTGATGATAAGTACCTCACACAACCCAACTCCAAAGCATCAGAAACATCCCTTTATCAGGAAACAATACTGCGACCCTGAACACACCACGAGTAATTAACCTATCGTCATGTTCCCCCTCCTTACATGGAAGAATCTGTTGAAGTCAGACACATTTAAACCTCTCTGGTGAACAGGATTCCCTATAAGCAACAACTTGAAGTGTTTTTAAATCAAAACAGCGCTTACATTTCATGTTGACAGCGGCATGCCAGAAAGCCCTACATGTATTTCAGTTTGCTGACAAATATATTCTGTTTTCATTGAATCTAATTGAGGCCTAAAGCTATTATTTGTGTCACTCACAAAGGACTTGTGTTCATTTGAAGTAGTGTACTTGCCATTAAAGTAAAAACGACCTGCCTTGATGATGTAATTAATCAAATAGTCTTCCTCTTAATATTTCACTGGCAACGCTGGTCTTGATACCCTTCATCTCCCCAAGTGCATGCTGGGATATGTTCTCGCTCTGCGGGTTCAGAAAAATATGTTTTTTACAATCTTTGAGTTCAGTTTAAAGTTTAAATGTCCTTCAGTGTGATTCAGTGTTAGTGAGGAGTGGGAGGCTGCTCCGGCTCTGTGTCTGTCTCAATGTCCTCCTGCTCTTCCTCCTCTTGCTGCTCCTCCTCTTCCCCCCCCCCCCCCCCCCTCCCCCCGCTGCTGCTGTATGATTACCTAGAAGAGCATCAGGACTGTTTGAGGCATATGATAGCTATGTGATTAACATGATGATTCAGCCTCTATGGAGATAGACATATGACAAGCATGATCATTTCTGACGTGGAGCTAATCTGAAGTAAACATTGAATACTGCTTTCTATTCCTCCATCTTGTGACTGTGTAACTCCCTCTCTTGGATATCAGCATGTGAAGGACACTGTTCAGGAACTAGTTGATGCTCTGTATGTGATGACTACTTCCATTCTGGAGAGGATCACAAATACATGGATCCTGAGATTGAAGCTCAAGCCGGTGACCAGTGAGATTTTTCCTAACACTATATACAAAAAAATTATTTGTTTAAAACAATGAATCAAATATCACGGATGCCGATGACCTAAACTTTGATTTTCATGAAGAATTTATGCTAGAGGGGGACCAGAAACGTTTTTAAGCTTCTTCTTCGTGCCCCTTTTTAACATGAAAGAAACTATTTGAGAATTCTTTTTTTTTGATACCTTGAACTTTTATTTTATTTTGCTTCCCTTTGTTATAATAAGTTTTAGTATTATTGTTTTTTTTGTTTCTAGCATGTTCAATAAATTGACTAATAAAAAAAAAATGAAACAATGAACAGCGTTACAGCACAAGTAGCATAGCTAGTGTGTAGTGTCTCTACTTTAAAGAGTCCTCTCCTGCTGATGTTCGGGTGTATATCAGTATGTAGTGTCTCTACTTTAAAGAGTCCTCTCCTGCTGATGTTCGGGTGTATATCAGTATGTAGTGTCTCTACTTTAAAGAGTCCTCTCCTACTGATGTTCAGGTGTATATCAGTATGTAGTGTCTCTACTTTAAAGAGTCCTCTCCTGCTGATGTTCAGGTGTATAGTGTCTCTACTTTAAAGAGTTATCTCCTGCTGATGTTCAGGTGTATAGTGTCTCTACTTTAAAGAGTCCTCTCCTGCTGATGTTCAGGTGTATAGTGTCTCTACTTTAAAGAGTCCTCTCCTGCTGATGTTCAGGTGTATATCAGTATGTAGTGTCTCTACTTTAAAGAGTCCTCTCCTGCTGATGTTCAGGTGTATATCAGTATGTAGTGTCTCTACTTTAAAGAGTCCTCTCCTGCTGATGTTCAGGTGTATATCAGTATGTAGTGTCTCTACTTTAAAGAGTCCTCTCTTGCTGATGTTCAGGTGTATATCAGTATGAAGTGTCTCTACTTTAAAGTGTACTCTCATCTTGTTAGAAAAGTGAATTATTTTCTTCAAAAGCTTTCAAACTCTTATTTCTGACGAGTTTCTTTCTTTAAATCATACATTTAGAGAAAGATAAATATATTTAGTAAAACAGGAAATGGAAGCAGATTGAGCTGACCAATCAGAAGCAGCGTGTCATGATGACCTCACAGTAAGTGGAAGCAGATTGAGCTGACCAATCAGAAGCAGTGTGTCACGATGACCTCACAGGAAGTGGAAGCAGATTGAGCTGACGAATCAGAAGCTGCGTGTCACGATGACCTCACAGCTGAGGGCGAGGTCACAGATTTCTGATGACTTCACTTTTTAATAATAATAATAATAAATAATTAAATAAATCAGAAAACATGGAAACACTGCTTTCAAATATGAGGGTTCTTTAAATGTACACAGTAATACGTATTTAGATCCTTTGGTTCTTTAAAAGTAGTAAATCAGAAATGTATATGTTAGTAAAAGTACACAGAATGACCCGATAAAGGATTCACATGTATATATTAAAACATGACATCAGTCAGTCAAGTGTTCTAGGGAAGAAACTATTTCATGTATTGTATCTATTTGGTTCTCTGGTTCTCTCTCTGGTTCTCTGGTTCTCTCTCTGGTTCTCTGGCTCTCTTTGGTTCTCTCTCTGGTTCTCTCTCTGGTCCTCTGGCTCTCTAACTGGTTCTCTGGCTCTCTGGCTCTCTTTGGTTCTCTGGCTCTCTCTGGTTCCCTCTCTGGTTCTTTCTCTGGTTCTCTCTGGTTCTCTGGTTCTCTGGTTCTCTGGCTCTCTTCGGTTATCTGGCTCTCTGGCTCTCTTTGGTTCTCTCTCTGGTTCTCTCTCTGGTTCTCTCTCTGGTTCTCTGGTTCTCTTTGGTTCTCTCTCTGGTTCTCTGGTTCTCTGGCTCTCTTTGGTTCTCTCTCTGGTTCTCTGGTTCTCTGGCTTTCTTTGGGTCTCTCTCTGGCTTTCTTTGTCTCTCTCTGGCTCTCTAACTGGTTCTCTGGTTCTCTGGCTCTCTGGCTCTCTTTGGTTATCTGGCTCTCTCTGGTTCTCTCTCTGGTTCTCTCTCTGGTTCTCTCTCTGGTTCTTTGGTTCTCTGGTTCTCTGGTTCTCTGGTTCTCTCTCTGGTTCTCTCTCTGGTTCTTTGGTTCCCTGGTTCTCTCTCTGGTTCTCTGGTTCTCTGGTTCTCTGAGAAATCAGTCAGTCAAGTATTTTAGTGCAGAAAATGTAAATAAAGAACCTCAAAATGCATGTTCTACACACAGTTTTATTTTAAATGCACACTGAACATTTGACATGTTTAATATTCCATTCCCTCTGCATGTAAATAACATCTTTATATGGTGTCTGAGTATGTGTCTGAGTATAGGTCTGAGTGAGTATATGTCTGAGTATGTGTCTGAGTATATGTCTGAGTATGTGTCTGAGTATATGTCTGAGTATGTGTCTGAGTACATGTCTGAGTATATGTCTGAGTGAGTATATGTCTGAGTATATGTCTGAGTATATGTCTGAGTGAGTATATATCTGAGTATATGTCTGAGTATGTGTCTGAGTATATGTCTGAGTATGTGTCTGAGTATGTGTCTGAGTATGTGTCTGAGTACATGTCTGAGTATATGTCTGAGTATGTGTCTGAGTATATGTCTGAGTATGTGTCTGAGTATGTGTCTGGAGTATGTGTCTTGTCTGAGTATGTGTCTGAGTATGTGTCTGAGTATGTGTCTGAGTATGTGTCTGAGTATATGTCTGAGTATGTGTCTGAGTATGTGTCTGAGTATGTGTCTGAGTATGTGTCTGAGTATGTGTCTGAGTATGTGTCTGAGTATGTGTCTGAGTATATGTCTGAGTATATGTCTGAGTATGTGTCTGAGTATGTGTCTGAGTATATGTCTGAGTATGTGTCTGAGTACATGTCTGAGTATATGTCTGAGTGAGTATATGTCTGAGTATATGTCTGAGTATATGTCTGAGTATATGTCTGAGTATATGTCTGTTCCATAGTGTTCTATTGTCATGTCTTATCCTCACGGCCTGCTCTACGCTGCTTTCATTTTGAGATGTTTAAATTCTAGAATTGTTTATTTCTACTCTTTAATATCTATTTATGAGCAAAGCCTTGTTTTGTTGTTGTTAGGGTTAGGGTTAGGGCTATGCTGCTGCAACACAAACATTTCCCAAAATGGGATCAATAAAGTACTTCTGATCGTATCTTGATAATATCTTTATGGATCATCTTTAAAAACTGAAACATTAGCAATATTAAAATCTCACATTAAAATAAATGCAGCACTGTGACTGAAGCTTCCAGAACAGGTCAACAATGTCAGGTCAAGGTCACACACACACACACACACACACACACACACACACACACACACACACACACACACACACACACACACACACACACACACACACACACACACACACACACACACACACACACACACACACACACACAACTTCCTGTTTCTCTCTCTCTCTCTCTCACACACACACACAAACACACACACACACACACACTACTTCCTGTTTCTGTCACACACACACACAAAAGAAAGAGGAAGTGTGTGTGTGTGTGTGTGTGTGTGTGTGTGTGTGTGTGTGTGTGTGTGTGTGTGTGTGTGTGTGTGTGTGTGTGTGTGTGTGACAGAAACAGGAAGTAGTGTGTGTATATAAGGTGTCGTTGCAGAGTTTCTGATCATCTTCTGATCTGACCGTCAGAGACTCCTCAGAAACTCTTCATCTCAGCGGTGAGACTCTTTCCAATGAATACTTTATTCTGTTTTCATTTCTTTATTATTCTTCATTTAATATTTTAATATTATTTAGATTTTACATTGTTTTTATTATTTTGATTTATTATTTCATTTATATTTTACACAATGTTCTTATATTTCCTCCAGTGTTTTGATAATGAGTATTTATGATAATAGTGTATTTAGTGTGTAATCAATATGTTTGTGTGATCAGTATCTCTCTCAGGGATCATCATGTCATCGAGCATCACCTACAGGGGGCGCTACAGCGAGCCGGTACCCTCATTCATAATCAATAACTCATTCATAATCAATAACTCATTCATAATCAATAACTCATTCATAACATCTTCCTTCATCATCTATTTTATTCTCTTTAATGTCCATCTAATTAATAGTATCTAATTAATAGTATCTAATTGATAGTATCTAATTGATAGTATCTAATTGATAGTATCTAATTGATTGTATCTAATTGATAGTATCTAATTGATAGTATCTAATTAATAGTATCTAATTGATAGTATCTAATTAATAGTATCTAATTGATAGTATCTAATTAATAGTATCTAATTAATAGTATCTAATTGATAGTATCTAATTAATAGTATCTAATTAATAGTATCTAATTGATAGTATCTAATTAATAGTATCTAATTAATAGTATCTAATTGATAGTATCTAATTGATAGTATCTAATTGATGGTATCTAATTGATAGTATCTAATTGATTGTATCTAATTGATAGTATCTAATTGATAGTATCTAATTAATAGTAATAATGTAATTGATTATATTGAAGGTGCCGACCTCTAACCTTGTGAACGATGATGAAGATTTTCCAGAGTTCGAGGCGTTTGAAGACGAGGATGCGACGCCTCGAGCACATTATTCTGCGAGTGAGAAACATATTTAATATATATATATTACTTTATCTGATAATAAAACATATATATATTTATATTTATTATTGTTTATACAAATAGGTTTTATTAGGAATTTTAAAGTTTCAATAAGAAAATACCAACAAAATGTAAGAAAAATACCTTCAAAATACCAAAAAAATACCTGATTTATTATACAATAAATAAATGTAATAATTAGTTTTAATGATTACAAACATCTGTTTTATAAATCTAATTTGTGCAGATTTCTTACATTTAGAATTTAAATATATCTTGTATTTCTTTAATATTATAAAGTTACATTTGAATTCTCTAATCTCAAAAAGCTAAATATGATTTGATTATTAGTTAAGTATTAAGTATTATATCTTATATTCATTTATCTTTTAATAACATGTTGTCTCTTTTATACTTTAATATAACTCTCAGTATCCCCCCCCCCCCCCCCCCCCCCCTCTCTGTTCTAATGTTCTATCTCAGGTTCCCTGGAGGTCCTGCAGGTGGAGATGTGTCAGAAAATCAACAAACCCAACCACTTCACCTACTCTTACGACCTGCAGAACCTGGTTATTCGGAGAGGACAAGAGTTCATGATCCGGGTCTCCTTCAACCGGATCCCAGGACCCTCCGACGACTTCCAGATCGAGTTCCTCATCGGTGAGTCTCAGAGAACCAGAGAACCAGAGAGACACAGAGAGAACCAGAGAGACAGAGAACCAGAGAGACAGACAACCAGAGAGACAGAGAGACAGAGAGAGAACCAGAGAGAGAACCAGAGAACCAGAGACAGAACCAGAGAACCAGAGAGAGACAGAGAACCAGAGAGAGAGCCAAGGAGAGAACCAGAGAGACAGAGAGAGAACCAGAGAGAGAACCACAGAGAAAACCAGAGAACCAGAGAGAACCAGAGAACCAGCCAGAGAGACAGAGAGAACCAGAGAACCAGAGAACCAGAGAACCAGAGAGAGAACCAGAGAACCAGAGAACGGCTCCCTCGTTAACCAATTAGCAGATTAAAGAGGCTCGTTTAGAGGCACCCACTACACAATCAAACCACTGAGAGATCCACTAATTAACACACA